GTATATATTTATAAACCGTAAGTTTTCATCCGCTCAGAAGGCTATTACTGAATATTTTTTCTTTGAGCAAATGTTTGTATTTTTTGGTTCTTCGTTGATCTAAATAATTAGCTAACTCTGACCTAACAATAACAATAACAAATATATTCAAGTGCTTTTTTAGTTAACTTGTTTGTTAAGTTTTATAAACTTTCTTTTGTTCGTTTTTGGAAACGTCTGATGTCGGAGCTCACTTTCGGGAGCAAAAGCCACTGTTGTTACATAGAATTTAATAAATAAAACCACTTTTGAAGAAACAGTGTGTTTTGTCATTATTTTGTGTGTTTCTAATTTTCTAAACATTGGACAGGTAAGTGACTATAACATATTTGTTTCAGGATTTCTGGCTCACGGAACACAACAGCTCACTCGTTCATTTTCGGGGACGTTCCATTTAAACTATACCCGTGGCTATTTTTATTCTGTCGTAGCTCATTTTCGGGAGCAGTAAGGACTGATAACAGTTGTATAACACAGACTGTGTAGAATAAAATTCAGCTTTGAGCAAGTGTACGTTTGCTTGTGTGTTTCTTTTTATCTGAATAAATAGCTAACTCTCAATTGTCTTTCAGGGTTCCACGCTCATCCAATCACAAATATATTTAAGGCGCTTCTGAATTAACTTGTCTGTAATTGTTGACAATTGCAAATTAATTGGTCCATTTTCGGAGACTTTGCATAATATCCGTGGGCAGTCAGTACTCCGGGCTTATTTTCTGGAGCAGAATCAGTTGTTAGCCAGACTTGAAAGAATAAAAGCAATTTTAAACGTGTCCTTTGTCCTTAAAATGTGTAGTTTCTTTTGTCTGAATAAATATAATTATATTAAGCTGCTAACACTTGACACATTTTTTCAGGATTTGCGGCTGTCATTGCATCACAAATTTCATTCGTCCATTTTCGGGGAAGTTTTCATTTAAACTAAATCTGTTGCTATGGAATTCTGTCGGAGCTCATTTCCGGGAGCAGTAAAGACTTGAACACTTGCATGCATGTAACACAAACTGTAAGAATAAAATTCACTTTTGAACAAAAGGTATGGTCTGTCTT